CGATGAAAGCTCGAGTGATGAAGAAGAAGGCAGTGAGCAAGATTGCTCGAGGAAAGTCGGCAAAGGCCGTGGTCTTCAGGGGCAGCAAAGAGAAGACTGCAACAGGTTTCAAACAGACAGACTTGTTGAAGAACAAGCGTAACAAGGTTGTGACCAAGAAGCAGCATGCTGCCGGCAAGAAAGCCTACAAAAACATCTCCGCTTGGACCACCGCAGTGACAAAGGCCAGGAAGGAGTTGGGCATCAAAGGCTTCTGCGCTGTGAATGGTAAGACAGCGCAGGGCAAGGCTCTCTATGCCAAGGCCAAGGCCATCTATGCCGCCTGAACGGTTGAGAGATGTTGAGAGAAATCGGCAGTTCCAACTTGCGTGGTAGTTCACGGAGCAGAGAACTTGCCTTGACTTTCTCTGTTGACGAACTGAGCTCGGCATGTACAGCTCGTTTAGCCGAGCCATTCCCCGCCTCATCCATAGTGTGAGGACTTTGCCCTGGCAAAAACCCTGAAATCGAGCATTCCAAGTCGGTGCATTTTCTATGTATTTCCTTTGCATGATTTGTATTCAATTTTACCTATAGCTTTGTCATTCCAGCAGCACGTTCTGCTGTGAAGTCTCCAAGATGACTTTCAAAGGAAATCCTGCCACTTCAGACAAGATGAAACATATATGTCTGCATAGTTTTTTTAAAAAGGAAATTTGTAGTCTCACAGCTCAGACTCGTCTTGTTTCGAGAGAGGCAACTTATCAGATGATAGGTGGATATGCGGCATGTGGTGCAACATCGTGCAACACGTCGTGCAACATCATGTTGTGAAAAGGATGTGAAACAGACGGGCATGGTGTATCATGATGTAATTGCTGATTGATCTCTCATGTTTCTTGATTTTGGGGCTCCAGCTCTCTTGCAACTTGTACTGCCTTCGATCTCGTCGATCCCCTCGCGTTTGAGTCAACATGGCCCTTCCCATGAAGAAGTCCGTGATGAAAAGCATGAAGGCAATGAAAAAGACCACCGCGATGAAAGCTCGAGTGATGAAGAAGAAGGCAGTGAGCAAGATTGCTCGAGGAAAGTCGGCAAAGGCCGTGGTCTTCAGGGGCAGCAAAGAGAAGACTGCAACAGGTTTCAAACAGACAGACTTGTTGAAGAACAAGCGTAACAAGGTTGTGACCAAGAAGCAGCATGCTGCCGGCAAGAAAGCCTACAAGAACATCTCCGCTTGGACCACCGCAGTGACAAAGGCCAGGAAGGAGTTGGGCATCAAAGGCTTCTGCGCTGTGAATGGTAAGACAGCGCAGGGCAAGGCTCTCTATGCCAAGGCCAAGGCCATCTATGCCGCCTGAACGGTTGAGAGATGTTGAGAGAAATCGGCAGTTCCAACTTGCGTGGTAGTTCACGGAGCAGAGAACTTGCCTTGACTTTCTCTGTTGACGAACTGAGCTCGGCATGTACAGCTCGTTTAGCCGAGCCATTCCCCGCCTCATCCATAGTGTGAGGACTTTGCGCTGGCAAAAACCCTGAAATCGAGCATTCCAAGTCGGTGCGTTTTCTATGTGTTTCCTTTGCATGATTTGTATTCAATTTTACCTATAACTTTGTCATTCCAGCAGCACTTTCTGCTGTGAAGTCTCCAAGATGACTTTCAAAGGAAATCCTGCCACTTCAGACAAGATGAAACATAAAAGTCTGCATAGTTTTTTTTTTTAAAGGAAATTTCTAGTCTCACAGCTCAGACTCGTCTTGTTTCGAGAGAGGCAACTTATCAGATGATAGGTGGATATGCGGCATGTGGTGCAACATCGTGCAACACATCGTGCAACATGTTGTGAAAAGGATGTGAAACAGACGGGCATGGTGTATCATGATGTAAATGCTGATTGATCTCTCATGTTTCTTGATTTTGGGGCTCCAGCTCTCTTGCAACTTGTACCGCCTTCGATCTCGTCGATCCCCTCGCGTTTGAGTCAACATGGCCCTTCCCATGAAGAAGTCCGTGATGAAGAGCATGAAGGCAATGAAAAAGACCACCGCGATGAAAGCTCGAGTGATGAAGAAGAAGGCAGTGAGCAAGATTGCTCGAGGAAAGTCGGCAAAGGCCGTGGTCTTCAGGGGCAGCAAAGAGAAGACTGCAACAGGTTTCAAACAGACAGACTTGTTGAAGAACAAGCGCAACAAGGTTGTGACCAAGAAGCAGCATGCTGCCGGCAAGAAAGCCTACAAGAACATCTCCGCTTGGACCACCGCAGTGACAAAGGCCAGGAAGGAGTTGGGCATCAAAGGCTTCTGCGCTGTGAATGGTAAGACAGCGCAGGGCAAGGCTCTCTATGCCAAGGCCAAGGCCATCTATGCCGCCTGAACGGTTGAGAGATGTTGAGAGAAATCGGCAGTTCCAACTTGCGTGGTAGTTCACGGAGCACAGAACTTGCCTTGACTTTCTCTGTTGACGAACTGAGCTCGGCATGTACAGCTCGTTTAGCCGAGCCATTCCCCGCCTCATCCATAGTGTGAGGACTTTGCGCTGGCAAAAACCCTGAAATCGAGCATTCCAAGTCGGTGCGTTTTCTATGTGTTTCCTTTGCATGATTTGTATTCAATTTTACCTATAACTTTGTCATTCCAGCAGCACGTTCTGCTGTGAAGTCTCCAGGATGACTTTCAAAGGAATATCCTGCCAGTTCAGACAAGATGAAACATATAAGTCTGCATAGTTTTTTTAAAAGGAAATTTGTAGACTCACAGCTCAGACTCGTCTTGTTTCGAGAGAGGCAACTTATCAGATGATACGTGGATATGCGGCATGTGGTGCAACATCGTGCAACACGCCGTGCAACATGTTGTGAAAAGGATGTGAAACAGACGGGCATGGTGTATCATGATGTAAATGCTGATTGATCTCTCATGTTTCTTGATTTTGGGGCTCCAGCTCTCTTGCAACTTGTACCGCCTTCGATCTCGTCGATCCCCTCGTGTTTGAGTCAACATGGCCCTTCCCATGAAGAAGTCCGTGATGAAGAGCATGAAGGCAATGAAAAAGACCACCGCGATGAAAGCTCGAGTGATGAAGAAGAAGGCAGTGAGCAAGATTGCTCGAGGAAAGTCGGCAAAGGCCGTGGTCTTCAGGGGCAGCAAAGAGAAGACTGCAACAGGTTTCAAACAGACAGACTTGTTGAAGAACAAGCGTAACAAGGTTGTGACCAAGAAGCAGCATGCTGCCGGCAAGAAAGCCTACAAAAACATCTCCGCTTGGACCACCGCAGTGACAAAGGCCAGGAAGGAGTTGGGCATCAAAGGCTTCTGCGCTGTGAACGGCAAGACAGCGCAGGGCAAGGCTCTCTATGCCAAGGCCAAGGCCACCTATGCCGCCTGAACGGTTGAGAGATGTTGAGAGAAATCGGCAGTTCCAACTTGCGTGGTAGTTCACGGAGCAGAGAACTTGCCTTGACTTTCTCTGTTGACGAATTGAGCTCGGCATGTACAGCTTGTTTAGCCGAGCCATTCCCCGCCTCATCCATCAGAGTGTGAGGACTTTGCGCTGGCAAAAACCCTGAAATCGAGCATTCCAAGTCGGTGCGTTTTCTATGTGTTTCCTTTGCATGATTTGTATTCAATTTTACCTATAACTTTGTCATTCCAGCAGCACTTTCTGCTGTGAAGTCTCCAAGATGACTTTCAAAGGAAATCCTGCCAGTTCAGACAAGATGAAACATAAAAGTCTGCATAGTTTTTTTAAAAGGAAATTTGTAGTCTCACAGCTCAGACTCGTCTTGTTTCTAGAGAGGCAACTTATCAGATGATAGGTGGATATGCGGCATGTGGTGCAACATCGTGCAACACGCCGTGCAACATGTTGTGAAAAGGATGTGAAACAGACGGGCATGGTGTATCATGATGTAGATGCTGATTGATCTCTCATGTTTCTTGATTTTGGGGCTCCAGCTCTCTTGCAACTTGTACCGCCTTCGATCTCGTCGATCCCCTCGCGTTTGAGTCAACATGGCCCTTCCCATGAAGAAGTCCGTGATGAAGAGCATGAAGGCAATGGAAAAGACCACCGCGATGAAAGCTCGAGTGATGAAGAAGAAGGCAGTGAGCAAGATTGCTCGAGGAAAGTCGGCAAAGGCCGTGGTCTTCAGGGGCAGCAAAGAGAAGACTGCAACAGGTTTCAAACAGACAGACTTGTTGAAGAACAAGCGTAACAAGGTTGTGACCAAGAAGCAGCATGCTGCCGGCAAGAAAGCCTACAAGAACATCTCCGCTTGGACCACCGCAGTGACAAAGGCCAGGAAGGAGTTGGGCATCAAAGGCTTCTGCGCTGTGAATGGTAAGACAGCGCAGGGCAAGGCTCTCTATGCCAAGGCCAAGGCCATCTATGCTGCCTGAACGGTTGAGAGATGTTGAGAGAAATCGGCAGTTCCAACTTGCGTGGTAGTTCACGGAGCAGAGAACTTGCCTTGACTTTCTCTGTTGACGAACTGAGCTCGGCATGTACAGCTCGTTTAGCCGAGCCATTCCCCGCCTCATCCATAGCGTGAGGACTTTGCGCTGGCAAAAACCCTGAAATCGAGCATTCCAAGTCGGTGCGTTTTCTATGTGTTTCCTTTGCATGATTTGTATTCAATTTTACCTATAACTTTGTCATTCCAGCAGCACGTTCTGCTGTGAAGTCTCCAAGATGACTTTCAAAGGAAATCCTGCCAGTTCAGACAAGATGAAACATAAAAGTCTGCATAGTTTTTTTAAAAGGAAATTTGTAGTCTCACAGCTCAGACTCGTCTTGTTTCGAGAGAGGCAACTTATCAGATGATAGGTGGATATGCGGCATGTGGTGCAACATCGTGCAACACGCCGTGCAACATGTTGTGAAAAGGATGTGAAGCAGACGGGCATGGTGTATCATGATGTAGATGCTGATTGATCTCTCATGTTTCTTGATTTTGGGGCTCCAGCTCTCTTGCAACTTGTACCGCCTTCGATCTCGTCGATCCCCTCGCGTTTGAGTTGAC